ACATTTGAAAATTGTAACCAGTGTTACCATAACTGCCAGTAGTTACCAAGGCATTTATAAAATGTGACCTAAATAACCAACTGCATTTAAAAATCACTGTTATGACATCACTGATTGTCCTGTGGTACTTACTGAAGTAACTGTGTGCCACCAAATTTTTAAATTATTAAAAGAGTACCATGACGAAAAAAAGGTTGAGAATCACTGGACTAGAGGTAGGCAGTTAGGCTGCCATTTCATATTAAATTTATTAATTATAAATAATTAATTTTTAATTTAGACATTTAGGGAATTTAATACGAGATGGCAGCATAACTAGTCAAATTAATTAATTTCTAATATTTAAGTATAGCCTTTACATAGTCCATGAATTTGGTATAGCATTTGGCATGTTTATTACATAACAGGCTATGGCTGTTGACGTTTATATGTAATATGTCTGAACGTAAGTTTAAAAGAATGTGTGATCACAAACAACACTAAAATGCTAGTAGAATGAGTGCTAAACACAGACGCTCGTTAAGCAATTTATTTTTTTACAACTTGTTTTGCTCGTTATGCGAATTACTTGTTATGAGAGGTGCTTGTTAAGCAAGGTTCCACTGTATTTCCTTTGCAATTTCTTCAACTCACACAGTTATTAGTAATTTTTTCCAGATATACTGTATTTCTGTCCATAATGTTTAGTGCACCATGTATACTCGATGTGCATATTAAATATTCTGATTTACAAAATACTATCATGCCAGATTATTACTGGACAATTCCTGATTACTGGCTACTTTTCAGAGAGTTCTAAATTACTGACATTATGGTTGGTTGGTTTTGGAAGTTTTTGATATATGAGCCTAGGTAGGCCAAAGAATACCAAGTTTATCCAGTTATGCTGACATTCTGGATTATGAAGTGTTGGATTAATGAACTTCTATCGTAAAGGATGCACCAATGAAACTGCTCCATTTGTCTTATGCAATAAAACAAGCAATTTGTTTTTAAATTTTTATTTTTTTACATGGATAGAATAATAGTTTAGTTATGAAAATAACGGAGTTAAATTCATTCTCCTTTCATCTGTACAACCTTCATCGTTGCAATGAATATGTTACATGCAGCATAACTTCATCGTTCAATCATAACTTTGTTCAAGATCTTTGCCAAATAAAAAGATTTTGAACAAGATGACAACTTTGTTCCAAATCTTTTTTATAAATTCCAAATCTTCAAATAGTTCTCATGGAGTCCTTTGATGCTATAGACATTTGTAATGTGGATTTTGTCCAGTATACAGACCCAAATACAGTAGTCTAGTGGGTTATGGTCTGGTGATAAAATAGGCAATTCATTTGGCATGATGAATGCTGGTATATTTTCTCCAGCAAGGACACCATACAGTTGGCCTTATATGACAGCATAGAATCCTGCTTAAAGTAGAAATGATCCTTTCCAAACATGTTCCTGATGTTTAACTTTAGATAACCCACCAGGATGTAAGTGATATAATGATTCACTTTAATTCCAGTTTGACAAATACCAATGGCACCTTACTGAAAACAGAGATAGCACTCAAATCATGACCTGGGATATGTTCTATGATCTGTATCTTGCTCTGGGAACAGCCTTTATGGACTCTGCTTAGATGCAGTTATTCTGGCTATAGAATTTATGTTGCAGCTAGAACATTTTTTTATCATAAAAAAGAATCAAATGATTTTGATGTTGGAAATCAACTTTGTGCATCTCTCCACCATAGCTTCTCTATCAGGCCACAAATTTTTTGTTTCTTGTAAGCACAGAAGTGTAGGTTACTTTGAATGGTTTGATGTATTGATGATTTACTATCGTAAGTTTGCAGCCAATCTTCCTTGCCAACTGCTCAGATGGAATTTGATTTAGATGATCAGATGCTCCTTACACTTAACCACTTTTGACATCCATACAGAGCTGTGTTTTCCATGCCAAGAAGTAGATCTGACTTCCCCTGTATTGCTATACAGCTTTACAGCTTCTGGATAAACCTCCATTTCAGTCCCAGACACTTCAAAATGTTCTGAGTTTTCAGATCTTCTAGGTGAAGAAATAGCACTGCTTTATGATTTGCCTCTATTTTCATAACATTTCTGCATGAACAATAATATTTGCATATCTAAATGAGTAATGCATCTTGCATACATTATTTAACAGCTGACTTGTTCATTCAGGGTTGGAACAAATCTTACCTAACAAGTGAAAAAGTTTCGTTGAGAGATATGGTACATAAAAATAATATAATATACCAAAGTAATATTTATTATGTACGAGGGCTATTTTTTAAATAAAGTACATTTTTAATAATAAGAAAAATACAGTGGTGCCTCGTATAACATACTTAATCCGTTCCAGGTGCATGTCCGTTAAGTGAAAAATTCATTATACGAAACGCATTTTACCATAGAAATACATGTTAAAACATATAATTTGTTCCACAGCATAAAATAACCGTACTGTTCCATAAAGAAAAAAAATGAAAATGGAGCAGTCACCAATTATGCCAGATAGTGAGATGATGTGAGGAGGAGGTGGAGGAACACTTTCTTTACACATTCATACAGATACAGACATTTTACACATTGCAGCTGGTCTCTTTTTATTGTTTTTTAATCGGAGTCAGATTCAGGAGAGGCTACCGGAGCTTGCAGGGTCATCTCCTCTTGTTCCATCCTTTGTTTTTTGGCAGCTTGCTTCTTGAAAAACATGTCCAAGGTGGTATGTTTCTCTCTCTTTTCTTCAACACCTGTCGGAAATGACAGGCAAAGGTGTCATTGTAGAGATCATTGATCCTGTTGGCCTCAGCTCTGTTTGGATAATGAGTGTTGGTAAACTCCTTGAACCTCTCCCCATTTGACAAGGAAGTTTTTGTCAACTTTCACTCCTTCTGATAATGTCTTGCTTTGTTTCAATTGAAATAACCTGTCTGTTTTTTTAGAAGCCATGATTTGCACAACACTTGAATAAATGTAAATACCCTGCACTGAGGTGATGTATGTAATAAGCAAGGGAGCAAGCCGAATCCCAACAGGAGCTCTGTACTTTAGATATACTAATAATATCTTCTAATAATACTAATATATTATAAAAATAGCAGATTGTCATTGGCAACGGCAAAAGAGCGAAAACATCATTTGCACTTGTTCACAGAAAGTTTGTTGTTCACCTCACATAACTGCTGAACGGAAAGTCTGTTGTTTGTAGCCAGTTCGTTGCTAGAGTCATGTAATGGCCAAACAGAAAGTCTGTTGTTTACAGTGTCCTTTATTCGAGGTGTACATTATATGAAACACCCACTATACTGTAAATATCATTAAAATATATTTTTTCCCATATTATACATACTTTTATCTACTTTTCTACATAATTTCCATTTTTGCTCAAATATTTGTCATACCGCTCAAAAATTTTTTAAATTCAGACTTCAAAGAAATCTGCTGCCTGCCGCCAGAAGACATTAGGCCGCGCTGCTTGTCTTGCATGGCACAGCGGAGTTTTCTCAAGGTCACAATAAGCATCAGAATTGATTGTTGTGCCTCTTGGCATAAAATCCACTAACAAAGTCCCTTTCCTGTCCCAAAAGACAGTTACCACAATCTTTCATGCTGAAATCAAATAGTAGATCATATCTTACAGTCGGCGGGTGACTCAATTTTCTTAAACATTATAAACTTCAACAGATCAGCACACAGACAGACAATATGACTGCAAATGGCATCTAAATACGCACAAAGCATGCTGAAAGCAGATGCTCATGCACACTGCTGCAATCGTGCGTCATTCTCACTCTTATTCACAAACAGACCTTATTTAAAAAATAGCACTCAATTATTTTTCATAATCATGATCAATAAATGTTATATTCAATATTATATAACCAAATTCTTGTTAATGAGCTTTTTTATGCTTGAAAGAGCTTGAAGAATGACTTATTTTTCATTGTTTACAGTTATTGACTCCAGTAAAAGATTTTTTTTTCAATTACTATTCTCAAAGTTATTTTAACTAAAAATCAAGTAAAAGTTTCTTTAAAAAAACTAGTTCTAATGTTTTATTATACAGTGGTACCTCAGGATACAAAATTAATCCGTTCCGACGCTGAGATTGTATCATAAAAATGTCGTAAGGTGAATCATTTTTCCCCATACGATTACATGTAAAACCAAATAATTTGTTCCAACACGAAAAACATACTCAAATTAAAGCTAAGTAATACATTAAAAAAAATAATAATAACTATAGTAAGGAAAACACTGAAAAATGCGTTTTGTAGTTGTAAATGTATAAATAATCGTAATAGAATAATAATTGATAAAAAAAAATGTAGTTTTATTTGCACTTTACCTTTGAGGATAGACGATGGTGGAGGTGTAAATAGGTGGCGGAAGAGAAGGAAAAGGAAAATAATACTAAAACTTAACTTACATAACATAATGTAACAATAACTTAAAAATAACTTAGAAAAGATAAAAAAAAATTAGTGTTGTTTTATATATATATATTTTTTAATTTTTATTCACTGCTTTTTGCTTTCTTTCCTTCACTTCCACCAGCTGAAAGCTTGGTAAAATATCTATCCAAACAGGTTTGGCTTTGCCTACATTTTAAAATGTTTCTAAAATGACTTAGGCAAATATCATTACTCCAAGCAGCAATATGGCCAGTGTGAACCTTTTCGGGATGTTTCTTTTCAATAAAATCAGTCACTTTCTGATAATACCTCAAGATTTCCTTTATCGAGCGAGATCCTTCCACGACGAAGCAAACACACAGACTGAGACCAATAAACAGAAGTGAATAAAAAATGGCACCGCAAACTAACGTAACGTTGTATGGTGAGTTTTTATTCGTATCGTGGAGGAAAAGTATGTTCGAATTTCTTGTCATATCCTGAAAATTTCGTATGCTGGGGCGTTCGTATCCTGAGATACCACTGTATTTATCTAAGAAAAAATAAGTGACAAAATGTACAGTACCTTATGATCTGGTCCAGATGTAAGATTAATTGAATTATTGTGAGAGCAGGAATCAACATCTAAAGGAACAGTACAATGTCTTCCCATGCTCCTTCTACCAAATGCTGTGCTACCAAAAATTCGTCGAAGAGAAAAACGTCCTAATCCTCGTTTCCGTGTAACAGATGAATGAGAAAGTGCAGGGCCAGCAGAAGATCCAGCCATGATAAATGGGAGATGAATATTTATAAAGGTAGAAAAAATGGGATATTTGCCAAAACTATACTTGTTAAGGCAACCCTTATGTTTTCATGAGACACTAGAAAAACACATTTTATATAATTATTTCAGTAAAAATTCAAATAGTAAAAAAGTTTAAATAATAATTTATACTATTTTTTAAATTTACAATCAATTATATTTTTTAATGCAAAAAGATTATTTCAAATATCTTTCCTATAACATTAAAATCTTGCTTATAAATATGACATCATTTTCATTATTCTTAACTCTGATATTAAATAGTTTCGATGATTCATTAACAAAATTCAATATATATTTAGTGTAAAAATATAATGTTAAAAACAACAACTAAAATGATAATTAAGTATTTGCAGAATTTTTAGAAAATTTCATTTTATCATATGATTCATTAAAAAATAAATACCGACTGCGCAACATTTATTGAACAACAGATCAATAAATGTTACAATTGTTGCATTGTACAATTGGCAGCATAAGTTTTTATTTCTATTTTTGCATTGAAATCTATACTACAATATAAAGAGACAATGTATTTTTTGTTTGTGACCACTAACCATGAAAACTACTGAACCAATTGTTACCAAACTTTAACTGTAGCATCTTTATGATCCCTGGAATGTTTACCATTAATCAAACCTACAGATTTTTTATTAATTAAATAAAACTGCAACGGATTTTCGTCTGTCTATTTCTCTCTCTCTCTCTTCACTAGATGGTGACACACGTTGTCCATAAGAAAAGTCTATTATTGAAGTTTACTATTATATTTGAAGAACTGACATTAAATTATAATTAGTTAATTAGCAAAATTTTTGAGGAATTAAAAAAGTGACATCATCACGCTAGATGGCCATATGTGTACAGTACTTATGGCAGGTTTTCAAATCGTTTCTGCAGGTAATTGTACAAAATATTCGAAATAGTTATTGGTGAATATTTTTGAGATTGATTGATAAATAATGCTGAGAACTGCAAGAGCACAAATAGGAAGAAACAGTTCATAATAATCATTCATCATACTGGTGTGAGAATTAAAAACATAAACATGAAATTACCAACATACCAACATAAATTCATTTCAAAAACGAACGTTTTCTACCGTCTTCAATGGTCATCATCAGGTTCGAATCCAAGATTTCAAAAAATTGAACATGGCAATGTTCGATTTTTTGAAATCTTGGATTCGAACCTGATGATGACCGTTGAAGACTGCAGAAAACGTTAGTTTTTGAAATGAATTTATGCTGGTATGTTGGTAATTTCGTGGTTATGTTCTTAACAGTTCATAATTGTAGATGACATGAATCTACACTTCTACAGCAAAGACTGGAAGGGCAACAAATTTGTTTGGCTCAGAATCGAATGTGTGTAGTGAGGAATTTTTTAGGTTTCACATCAATATAACTTATTCAGAAGTTTTATGATTTTATTTTTTTTATATTTTGCAAAACTCTACTGCAATACTACACATTGATCACTCAAAAATAATTAATGAACAATTAGTTCAAATTTTCTAAGTTCTATATGTATATAAGAGCGGGCAGGCCGCGACGGGGATGCTAGTGTATAATAAAGTTTGTGATTACTGCAAGGAACGTTTTTTACCTAATAATTTTTTAATACTATTAATTTGTGATACATACTATATTATTTTTTCTGCCATAATAAATAACTCTTTTCTGTACCCGTAAATAACTTATTGCGTACCCAGGAGTTGGGAATCACTGATAGCCCAGGTTGGGAATCGCTGATATAAATCATAAGCTTGATAATTAGCTTTAAAAATCCGGCAACAAGTTTCCTGGCTTTACTGAAAAAGTTATGCAAGTTAAAAAAATCCAGCAAATTGTTGCATTAGTTGAAGTAACACTAAGACATATTAGCCCAAAGACATTAATTAAAAAATCCTGTAATGAGTTGCGTAACTTTCTGGACAAAAAGGTTACTTAAATGTGTGGTGCCATCTGTTGAGATCTTATTTAAAACACTTTTTATATTAATAATTATTATAAAATGGCAAAAAGCTTAATTTATTAGGGTAGAAGTAGGTTTTAAAAATTTTAAATTCCAATAATAAGTAAAATTTTCATTAAGTGCAGTCCCACTTAAGATAAGACCTTGACATTTCACCACCAAAATTTAATAGCATCAATGCCCCTTATATACAAGTTAAAATGCCAAATTGTATTTCTTAATCTTTATCCCATCCCAAGCTATTAAATGAAATAGACATTAGCACACATACATACAGAATTTATTTTCCATTATTTTAAATTTTTTTGGGTTCAAGGGATTCAAAACAAACATCAAGATTTGCAAAAAGACCAAAAGACCCAGAGGGTCAAAATAACAGTTATATAACAGCCAGGAAAGTAAACAGAAAAAGAAAAAAAAGTGATTTTTTTCAAAAACAATGAAAATAGTCAGCTGCAGATGGAAATAATGCCTTGCAATATTAAGAGAGGTTGTGTTTCTTTATGCAGCACTGCTTGATCACTACACAAAAAAGTGTTTCTAAATGAAGTGCTGTAATATAGCAGACCGTTTCTAAAAACATTTGCTGCAAGAGGTTTGCTGCAGTAAAGATAAAGCAGCTTTTATGTCTGCTACACATGTAAAGCAAAATGGATGCTTGTATGTGTAATGTGATATTATGCTGTGAAAATAAAAAAGTCAAAGTGACTTTTGATTAAAATATTATGGAAAGATTAAGAAGGGTTAAATTTTATAAAATGACTCTGAAAGTTATCTAAAGAATAAGCAAATACCATATTTTAAATATAATTATCTATCTCTTATCTCTACTTTGCTCACATTTTCAGGAAGAGAAATACTCAACTCTTTATCTCTATTTAAATGTTGTTGTTCTTTAACTAAAGCACTACTTTTGGCTGTAACTGGAATTAAAGGATAGATTACAGCATCCATGTTTAGCTCTAGTGGAAAATGTTTCTAAACTATAATGCAGAGACGTGTAGCAATAGCTGCTCATGACGTCATTTTCACTACACTCTCGCTACATAAAGAAACATGACCAAAGTTACTCTGGTTGCTAAATAACAAACTGATGACAGCAAGCTCAAAATATGCAAGACTCAAAATATCCAGACACAATACTGGGTATATGGCCTAGAGATTTAATAGAGTATAAATCAAAAAATTATAATTTAATGAAAAAGTTGTTTTCTAGTACAAAAACTTTGGCAGATTTTTTTACACTCAAACACTTCAATAAATGTACCAACAGTGACTTAGCACATGTCCAACTCATATTCCACTCTAATCATGCATTCAGTAGCATGTGAAGTATGATGCCGCCAATAGCTTGACAGATTCTCTCTCTCAGATCATTCAAATTATGCATAAATATACAATACACTTTATTATTTGCAAAATCCCACAGGAAAAGTCCAGTGGAATAATTTAATTCTAAATTCTAAATTAAAGAGAAAAATTTAATTCTAAATTACCTAAATTCTTAGTTCATATCTAACTATATAAAGCTGAAAAACCAGATTCATTCTTTCTGTCACTGTATGCCAAAAATGGCCACTAGGGGCACCCCTAGCTATTATTTAAATTAACAATAAATTCAGTATATTATTATTTGATGTGGTTTTTTGCATTTTTGGTTGCATTTTAGTACTGTATGACATGAGAAATTCAGTATATTATTATTTTTATTTGTAATAGGAATTTATTATTTATACCACAGAATGACACAGCTGCTGCTAGAATGCCCATTAGTGGGCGTCCTGGGCTATTAGAATAGAAGGATTAGAAGTACGAAATAATCTAATACTCTTAATCTTTGTTGTTGTTCTTTGTCTGAGCAATGCCGGGCTCATCTGCTGGTATTATTTTGAGTAATACAGTTTAACCATTTCATAACCAGTACCATTGTTATAATTACTAATGGGCTAACCTGTATTATATAATAATATAAAATGTTTCTTTTCTAAATCACATTCAAAATCTAAAAAATGCAGTGTGACTAACAAACTAAGCATTCAGCATTAATATAAAGAAATTGCTCTTAGCCCTTGGTTTAATTAAATTAATTAAAAACCTACTAATGTGAGGTGGGAATAATTAATTCATTCAACATTAAGTTTGTCAATATATTCATATGACTCAATAAGTTTATTTTTAGTATCTCGTTATTCATTTCAAATAAAAACATCTGGATAATTTGTATTAGATGAATATATATAATTTACATTAAAATTACATTAAAATTTACTGTAAATTATAATCATTAATATAAAATATTATTTTTACTGATATTTTAATAACATGTTTTCATTAGTACATATTCTATTTTGTTACAATAAACTGCAATTACTTTATGATTGCAGGGAAAACTTTGTGATAACATGCTAGAATGATTTATTTTGACAGTTTTATATCCATTTCAAAATTTACTTGCAGGTAAGATACTGACGGCCTGTGTGGTTGTGATATCTGATGCTAAACCTGAAATGTATAAGATAAATATCTTCCACCATTGGTGTTTCTTCTAATAACCAAAAAATTGGGTGATGTATGAAGTGTGTGATGCTTTCTTTGGTTGTAAGAAAATGAAAACAGTTGATGTATTAAAAGTATGTTTAATACATCAACTGTTTTAAGTTAAAATACTATTCTAGCTTATAGTTATCTGTAAATACAAGTAATTTTTATTAACTGGTTTAGTTGGTGTAATCTATAGAAGTAAATTTCACAGAGTTTAGTGGTTACTTTGTGACAATATATAAAGGATCTCATGAAAGTGTAGGAAGTGAAATTGCAGAATTATAAGATACAGAAAGTGAAATAAAACATGCTGTATAATGGAAATTTAACCTAAAAGACAAAAATTGACAATCATGTAATTATAATTTTTGAAGAGAGTTACTATACAGGAATTATAAGAAAGTGAAAAAAGTTCATGTGTACACAAATGCAGTGCAGTCTATTACAATTACATGACCCCAAATAGTTTATGCAGTAAGTATTTCTATTTCAGATTAATATTTAATTCAGATAATACAGCAAATAAATGAAATATATTTT